CGGCAGCGGCAGCCAAAAGCGAAACCATGAAGGGAGACAAGCTTGGGAGACAAGCCGGCAGCGGCAGCCAAGAGCGAAATCAAGCTTCACAGACAAGGCGGCAGCGGCAGCCAAAAGCGAAATCTTGAAGGGAGATAAGATTCACAGACAAGGCGGCAGCGGCAGCCAAAAGCGAAATCATGAAGGGAGACAAGCTTGGGAGACAAGGCGGCAGCGGCGGCCAAAAGCGAACTCATGAAAAGAGACAAGCTTGGGAGACAAGGCGGCAGCGGCAGCCAAGAGCGAAATCATGAAGACAGACAAGCTTGGAAGACAAGCCGGCACAAGAGCGAAATCAGGAAGGGAGACACGCTTGGGAGACAAGGCGGCAGCGGTGCATGCATGCATGCATGCATGCGTGCCCACCTAAGCAAAAACATGCAAAACAAACACATGCCGCGGTAAGGCGGTGCTAGGAGGTGGTGGCGGGGAGCTTGAGCGCGCGGCGAAAGCACTCAGTCGTGTTCCTAATGTCAGGGACACTCAATCGCTCTTTTCAGCCAGCTTCGTTGGTATCGTGTCTAGGTGGCGTCCCATCTTGAGATCTCTTGCGCCCACTCTGCCCAGCTGGTCCTGTCGATGTGTTTGAACAATAAACTCCAAGCCTTTTCGTGGATCTTTGCCTCAGAAAACCTGACACTCATAGCCAGGACCTCTGGAAAGCTCTCCATCGCCAGCAGGATCAACGTTCGTGCACGATATAGCACTTGATTCACTCGATCCAAATCCGGCAGGTTCGCCATAAAAACCCAGCCATTGAACGCAGCTGCCAAAACACTTTGAACCGAAGAAGTGGTTGCAGTGATCCAGCGGCCTTGAGGTAGTTCAAGGCCCTCACGCTGCTTCATCTCCGTGGCTCGCCCCCACGCCCCATGCTACCGGCTAGAGGTCAGGAAGTAGAGAGCGAGCAACTGGAAACAGAGAGGACCCTCCCTCCCCCGGAAATCCATGGTGAAGCGTGGGTCATAATCCAGAATGAGGCCGTAGCGACGATAGCAGCTGAAATCAGTGAAAAACCTAGCCATGAAGGACAAAGCAAGATGCAAAGTCGAGGCCAATTTGAGGTCCACCTCCAGAGCCTACCACAAGAAGATAGCAATCTTCGTTCAGCATCGTCCAGAGGCCCGAACCCAACGGAGGTCCTCTCAGGGATATTGGTATGATCTGCAGGGTTCAACGAGTAGGAGCATACCTCCCCACCTGATAGTCCATAGGCCCGAGACAAAGTGCTAGCCCTCTTCAACAAAGGGAGCAGAGCGCAGGACGAGCTCCTCCCACGAACCAAAGCACATAGAGCCAAGTTCAAGTCTATCAGCTCAACGAAACGAAGATCTCTGCCTCTGATCGCCGCTGCTTCATAAGCTCTCGGAGCAGAGGCAGCCTCGAGGATGTTGATGTGGGACGACCCCTTCCAAGCCCAACTAGCACCAACCTGCATTGAGTCCTGAAGGGCTAGCTGATTCTTCTGGAGCTCTGAGATCTGGTTGGCCATATTGGGATCAAGTCCATAAGAGTGGTCATCTGTTCGGACAGGGCCGCACCTCTTCTTCGCTCCTTCTCACTTTCAGGCGGAGAGGCGACTGATCCGGAGGGATGCCCTCCACACGTTCCTGCCAAGGCCGGCGGTTGCCCCACTCTTCCGCATGACCTGCGACCCACCCCCTTGTCGTTTCCACTAAAACCGTAGGGTCTGGGATGATGTCCAATTCCTCCCCAAAACCAATGAGTCCTTGATCTTCCGACTCTACTGATGTCCACCCCCAACAGAACCATCATCTGTATCGGACATCCTCATTCCAGGGACCTCCATGTGGCAATGTGGTCCAATCACATCTGCTTCTCCAGGATCCATTGGAAGCGCCCCGGCCGGGATCAAGGAAGATTACACTGCAAGCAGCACGCCACCCCCTGACGCGAGCCTCCTCGTGACAACCAAAAAAAGGCCTGGGCGTGCTTGAACAAGCAGAGGATCTGGAGGCCAATAAAATCGGAAAAGCTCCACATTCTCCTCCACCAACGGGACCAAGGCCTCTAATTCAATTTATACACCTTCTCCGGGTTGAAGCCCCCAAGCAAAGACCTGTAGCCGGCTGCCTTCTCGCAAACAACCGGTTCTGAGATGCCGTGAGCCCTGACAACAACGTAGGTGGTGTTGGCAAGATCACAGGGTGATGAAGGACGAGGTTTCCCGACATGGCCGTCCAACACAAATCTTCCCCAGCAGCCTGCAGTCCAGGCCCTCTCCGCTCGCTGCTTGTAGGAAAGCTTCCCGCCTCGAAGGGTAGCAGGGAGAGGAAACCCAGCCAGAAGGCCAGGAAGAGAGCCAGAAGGAGCCTGCGAACAGGCCAATGCCGAGCCCTGCTAGCAAAGCAATGACAAGGGAAGCAAAAAAGGCCGGTGGCCCACAATGCACTGGACAGGCAAGGCCCCACCAGTTGCTCTCTACTCCCGAGCGAATGAGATCCAAGAAAGATCTCAAAGAAAAGGCTGCGGGCATCAGAGCTTGAGCGCGCAGCGAAAGCACTCAGTCGTGTTCCTAATGTCAATAAAAAATGAGAAGTGTTACCAAAAAGAAGCGAACAGTCGGTGGTTCCTTCAACTCTGAATCCTGTCGACTCTCGACGTCAAGATTCCTCCCATCCCAACGCAGCAACGAACCAAGCAAAACCAGCCCCGGGGGCCGCAGGATCCTGACTTCCCCTCTCACAAACAAATCGTCAGAACGCCGTCCCTTTATGACTCTGGCGCTTAAGGGGGGGATGAAGGTTGCAAGACAGAGTGAGCCGCTCACCGCATCTCGCCGCCGCCAACCACCCACCCTCCGCGCTTTGCATGTGCGGGAGCTTTTGATGTGTGGATGACATGTGCTTCTCCCAGCCCTCGGGCAGCTCATCTGCCGCCACAGCCGTGGACGGGTTCGCCCTGGCACCGCCCACGTCAGACCAAAGAGTCACACCAAACGTTTCAGTGGTGCATTTAGTAGGGCGTACACAGGAGTGTACAAACTGCCCTCGCAGGTCGATTCTACCCACGGTCACCCAGAGTGGGTAGGGCCGGGTAGGGCTGATGTGGGGGTAGCCTAGCTAGGAGCCTAGCTGGGCCTAGCTGGGCCAATAGTCCATTCGGCGTTCATGTTTAGTCACAGGCCTCCAGTAACATTGATGTGGGATTTCCACCCACCCAACACTTTCATCTCCATTGTCTCACTGCTGTGAGCCAACTCCAAAACATCCCTCTCACAAAGAATGCACTCTTACAGAGGCGATCACCCAAAAAAAAGAACGCCTTCCGGAATGCAAACCCCCGAAAAGAATGTGTCAGAATCTGCATATGTTTACCTACTTTGACCTTTTCGCCCTCCCATCCCAACGTTTGACGCCTCGCTCCCCTGCTCGCCTCGGCGCCGCCCTCGCTGGGGACGCCTGTGGGGCACTGGTCGCCTGCTCTGCCTGCTCCCGCTGGGCCACGAAGCGGGCGGCGGGCACGGCGCAGGGGGGCGGGATCTCGGTGCTCTCCGCAGTGTCCTCGTTGTAGTAGTACCTCCCATGGCCCACATGGCTGGTAGGGGGAAAGGCGGGCACAAAGAAGAATAGAACAAAGAAAAGGAAAGATCATGAACACATCGAAGAAATCATGCCCCAAAGCCGAGCCCAGATCATTTGAAGAAACATGAAGATTGAACGGAATCCTCAAGAGATCTTCAAGAGACCCCCAACCAGTGGGTTTGAGTCTATGATTCTTTCTCAACCCAGCGGTCTTCCATGGTCTCCGTGGCTGTCCAAGATGCCATTGACCGGGCTTGGTCTTGGACTCCAATAGCTTCCAGGGAGCCTTGCAGCAAGACGATCTGACCACGCTTTGGCAGGTGCTTTTGCAATCCTTGCCTTCTTTTACACAAGACCATCCTAAGCCACGGCTTATCCAAGCCGTGGATTGCGGTTTGTTGCGCCTTCATGCAAACACCTGGAGCTGTCTGCATGTTGTTACTATGTTTCATCACTCTTATATCCACATCGTGCAGTCTCAGGAGTCCCCTTTAGGGTTTTCAAGTAGATCACAAACATCAATTGCCCAAGAAACCCCCCCGAGCCTGCCTGGACTTTGGGCGGCCTGATCTCATTCTCACCTAGCGAGTTGGGTGGAACACACATGGCGTAAGAACAGTTCTACGTAGGTGACCCAGCAAATCGATCAAATGAATCAAAGGGCTTCTTGCTCCTAGTAGTTTCTTGTTGGTGGTAGCCAGGAGCACCAGCAGCGTCCTTGCTCCCAGTGGCAATGCTCTTTGTTACTGTGTTCAGAGGCCATGTGACCCGCAGTTCCTACCTTTGGGGGCTTGAGACTTGGCCCACCTGTCTCCGGGTTGAAGTAGTAGTAGTGGCCAGGCTTGGATTTGGATTCCAAGCGCTGCCATCCGATGCCCTCCTCTTCCCGGCTTTTCTCTGGCTTCAGGAAAGTGGTCACACCCAAAGGCTTCTCCACGCGAGTTTCTCCTGCAAAGTCTTTTCAGGCCCTACGCAAGCTGGGGCATGCAATACAATATAGGTGCTAAAAGCACCCAAATTTCTCCCTCTACTTGATGGTCACCAGGCCTGTCCTGTGTCTCGATTGTGGTAGAAGAACTTGCCCTTCTGAGTCTTGGATTCAATCTCTTCCCAAACAGCTTCCTCTTTGAAATCCGGTGGCATGTTGTACCGGAACTCGCCCGTCTCCGCATCCACGTAGTAGTGCAGGCCAGGCTTGCTCTGAGATTCCACCTTCCTCCAGTCTCTCTTGGCCCGCTTTCTGGGCGAAGGTTCGGGTGCCGATTCCATGGGCCTTTTTCGTGTAATGTCCTCGGGCTCTTTCAAGACTGGCTTCGATCTGCGTTGGTTCGTCGGCTCCTCAGGGCAAAGAATACGTGGAACATGTGCTGTTGGGGTCAGGCTGTTGGTTGGATCTCCCAAGGCTCAAGGCTCTGGTTGCCTCCAGAAACCTCCCAAACTGAAGGCACTTCTCAGTTTCACCAAGGCTTCCGCAAATCCATGTTGACGCCAAGAATCCTTGCTTGAGCCCGCCCATGCATCCACCTCCATCTGGTCAGGCGCATTCCAGCTGGCAGGCTGTTCCTTGCAGGCACACGCTCTCTGCAAGCTGATGCAAATGGTTCGTTGGAAGATGTACCCTGTACCCTACTGATTGGCACGAACATGGAAAACATACCAGTCAATGATGGCTAAATTCTTTGGATGTCAGGGACAAATGGGTCTGCCGGTCTGCCTGAGGGCACCTCAAGTCACTGATGAGCCCAGAAACCTCGGGGGCGTCTCGGCCCTTGGCATCCTGACGCCTATAGGCCGGTTCTTTGTCCAGTAAATTATGCAGAGCCAAGCCTCATTACGGGGTTCGCCATCATCCAGGAGCTGCTTTGGAGGCAGCACGTCTGTGTCAACAAGCAGGGGTTCCGAGTATTTCCTTAGATCAGCTTGAAGGCAAAGCAACAGCTCAACACAAAAAGAGAAGCAGGTTTTGCGAGTCGGTGACGATGAGGAGACCTTGCGCAACTGTTCCGATTTCGGCACCTGAACGGACGACCGACAATCACCCGCGTCCGACTTCGGTGGGGTCTTGAAACCCAGGCACCGAATAGGAGTAGAACTATTAATGGGCATTTTGTCACGCTATTCCTGCACACTGGAAATTAAGCTTGGATTTAATGCTTTTGTGCCGCCTGCTGAGATCAACGCCTCAGTTTGAAAGGAATTGATTGTGGATTCAATACGTTGTTTGTACTTAGAGTTGCAGGTCAGGAAGTTAAGTCCAAAACTTGTAGGAATCCCTTCACACATGTTTGCTCGCGTTGGCACGATGAAATCGCCCACTGGAAATCATTGGCATCAAGTTGAATCATGTTTGAAATCCTTCTCCACGTGGCGGCTCCACTGGTCCAGTAATGCAAAACTATTGACGACTGGCAATGGATTAACTCAAAATTTAACTCCTCTGGCGTCATCCCATTGCCACACCACCCCATGGTGAAGAGCTAGCAGCTAACTCTTGATGCGATGTTCTCTAACAGTAGCTCTTATTCTTTCAATCTGAATGCCTTTTCGTTGGATGGAGGTTCCAGGGAGAAAGGATCGTTCTTCGGAAAAGGCAGTGCAGGAGAAAAAGTTTCGGGGCTGGTGCTTGTGAAGAAGCTGCTCTTAAGGGACCGCCTAGAAGCAGCAGCGAAAAGTAGACGGAGTATATAGTGAGTAGTGACAGTAGCACTGGAAGTATCAGTCAGGAATTTGGTCCAATGCCTCGCAAGTAACACGAGCAGCACCGTGGTAGCAGGGGAGCAAAGGATCCCAAGCAGGACAGGGGCAGGGGCAGAGGTTGCAGCAGAAGGAGTTACGATTTACAAGCAACTCTGCGACAGCGCCCTGCGCTTCTCCTTTTCGTGGCTCGGAAGAAAACGGACAACTTTCACCAACCCTCAGCCGCCCTCGGCTTCAAAAGTTTGCCAAGCTTCTTCAACTTCACACTGAAGTTCGCGGTGACTTTCAGCCGCTCCTTGCCCGTCAAAGTATACCTCCTGAGCCAGCGCATCCTACCGGCCCGATACAGCCCACACGATGAAAATCAATGAAAGCCCTGAGGAGATTGTCAGATATACAGGCCCTCAGCCCTCACACATCCAAACCTGGATGCTGGAACGAGAAATTGCATCATTACGCACATTCTTGGAGTCATCACGCCTGTTGCAAGTCACTATGTGACCAAAAGCTTGCTCGCCTGGCAGACTCAAGAGGGCCTCACCCATCCCAAGGAGCCCTCTTCTCCCCTTACTCGGTCCAAAATGTCCAACCATGTCCCAATCCTCCTCCCCGCCGTGAGTTGCGAGACCTTGCCCACCGAGCAGCCACTGAGATCCCAGCCCCCGGCCGGGCAGGCGCACACGGCGCACCTCGCAGTCAGGCGGAACGCACAGTGGAAGCTTGGCATCCTCCTCGGTACCAAGATCTTGGACCGCTTTGGGAACGAAGTTGTCCAAAACGGAGACAGAAACGGAGAAACTCCCAGCCCCACTGCCCAAGAAAAAGACTCTGTCCTCGCTCCCCTTCATAGGGAAGGTGAAAAGCAGTGAAAAGCAATGAAAACCATCAAATTGTCAAATGTCCAAGGCTCACAAAACACAACCGAGCCACGAGGCCAGGCACTTGAGGAAGATACTCCTGGTCCAGTCCATAGCCACCCTTCTTGGCATCCTCCACCAAAGCATCGTGGAGGGATTTGATCTGGGACGGCGTTGCATTGTCGCCTGTCCAAGCCGAAACACAGGGCGGGGGTCGTAGGAGTAAGGCAGTAAGGCGTTCTTCACCAACACTTGCACTGACAATGTCAAAACTTCTTGTTTGGGGACGATCCAGTAAGGTGGATAAACCATCCCTTTCAGTCCGCTACAACCAAGTGTGGCACAGATGCAGGCAGCTCGCCAAGCAGGGAAACCCTGCAGCTCCCGGTGTCCCTTGCTCTTCTTCACCCAGCCACCAGCCCGCACCTTCTTCTTCACTTGGAGGTCGATCCCAGGATGGACGAGGCTTCCTTGATCTCAACAATCACTTGTAACCAAAAGGTCGGGGGATGGCCAAAGCCCGAAAAAGAAACAATCATTGAATGTTTGGGTGGCACAACTTCTCAGCAAAAGCTCCAAACACAACTGTGTTGATTCACAGATTCAGATGAGCTTCTCGATGGCTGTGCGCCTTGCCTCGAGCAAGAGCGGATTCATTTTGGTGATTAAGTGATACGTGGGATCTGCCAAATAGTTGCGCCTCAGCACGCTGCCATGGCCAGACCCTTTCCATCTGAGGTGCAACCGAGATCGGTTCACAAGGCCACAGCACTCCTCCAAAAGGTCGGAGGGTATGGTAAATGTGTTTTTTTTGGGGTGGCACCGAGTGCACCATGGACCATCCAGTCAAGTAGCCACCCATCCGGCAGCTTCGTATCGCTGGGCATCCGCAGCTTTCCTGGCTTTCCAGTCAAACCCAGCACCCCCAATAAGTCGGTCTACCGGAAATATTCACCAACCATGAGCACTTAGTTTTAACTCACCATGCCTGCACTCGTGCTAAGCGGAAACTCTCGAGTATTTCCGTTGCGGTCATGTCAGAAGGCTCTCAGCTTCTCTTCTTTCAGATCACGGCCAGCCTGAGCATGTCTGCTTGATGTGGCCCTTGCAACTTGTCCCATCGCTGTTCCTCGTAGGATGATTCAAGCTCATGCACAGCGGGCAAACCCAAAAGGCCTCAGCTGACACGTGCCTCGAAGGGCTGCCACAGCAACTGCCCCAAATATGCTCGAATCTGACCAAGCCGCTTCTCTATATAACTACTGTACATACTACTGCCTCCTCCTGGATATGTGCCAACTTGGAAATTTGTCTGCTCTTCTCGTCCCACTCGGAGGATTCTTTCACGCCCAGGTGCAGTATCCACCTCCGGCGGCTGATATTCAGCCATGATCTGATCAATCTCCTCACGACTGAGCAACAGCAACCGGTCGAGGGCATCCAAGTGGATGCCCCGACGGATGCCCCATCCTCGGTGATTCGGGTGCAAGAAACGCCATCCAAAGCCTGAAGGGATCAAGCTGAACAAAGTACATCACTACCAGTAACTAGAAGCTACTAGTAGCTCCTGGCATTACTACTAGTACCAACAAGCTACCAAAACTTCTTTACCATGCTTGGCAGCGTGCCAGAATTGGGTTTGGCATTGAGAGCGATCTACTGCCCCATGGCCAAGGCACTACAATAGAGCAGAACAAACCTTCCGCACAAAACCACAATAAATGAAACCCCATCACTATGATTTGGGATACTTCCTTTGACCTGCGACATGCTGACAATGCTTTCGCTCCATGTGTCAACCCTCGGCTCTGCGGCTGAGCATCGCATGACCTTCTTTCGATACACGGAGTCTTTCGGATGATCTGCCATGAGTTGCTCATCTCCCAAGGCCCAATATGAGCAACCCTGGCACCAACATGCTCCGAACCCAAAAAATTCAACGGAATACGAAATGCCACGGAATACCGAAGAGCCCACCCAAATGGCCAGATTGTCTTGTCTGAAGCAAGGGTGCAGTCTGGCCGATCTTCAAAAGCTTGACCAATTCAAACGCATGAGACTAAAATATGAAATATCATCTATATGTCTCTAACTTGAAGGACTTAAAAATTAAAGCCCAGCTCACTTCACCCAATTTCTGTTCCTCGATCCGTCTCCTGAATAAATGCACGGCAGGAAGACTAGTGCACAGTTCTTGCAATTCTATCTCCAAAGCCACACGGGCCAGTTCATATCGGATCATTGATGATAAATTCACAAATTGATACACACTGAAGAAGGGGAACTGACAAGTGCTGGAACCAACTGCGCACGTAATGTCCACGGTTGCATTGCTCATGGGAGGCAAACATCTGCAAATACACAACGTGATCGCAATTCCAATGCAACTTGCTCCATATATGTACATATAGTGTATATATATATATATACATACATACATACATACATACATGGCTCAAGACATTTGAGGACTCAAGCCGGTCCCATACAATACCGGGTACAGGAGTAAGAGCCATAGACTCCCTCCAGTTTGACCTCGGCACTGGACTCCTTTGCTCGTAATCCCGACCTCCACGAGCACACCCTTGAAGAGCTCTTTGGGACCTGGCAGTTCTCGCCCTGCACAAGGCCTACGACACCTTGAGGTACGAGCACAGCCTTAGGGACATTGTGCACTACCACTTTGCCCGTGATCCCTACGTCCCTGAAGACGCCTTTGGCCAGAACGAGATCGGGGCAGTGATCATGGACTGGTGCAGGGCCTATACCCCTTGAAGCAAAGCCACATGCAATAACTGGATTTGGCAGGACAAGATGTACCCTGGCACCAGGTGTTGCCGCTGTGGCACTATGTGGATGACCTCGATGACGAGCACAGGCAAAGGCAAAGGATATGGCAAGCCTTCCGGCAAGCTGTCCAAAGCAACACGCCAATGGCCAGAAGCTCCACCGGGACTACCGAAAGTCAGGCCACTCAAAGTCTCCAAAGTCCAACAGGAGGCCACTGAACTACTGGCCAACACCTGGACCACCCTGACTGAGGACACACAGACTCGCTTGCAGGCACTTGGCATTGGACCAACAAAGCCCGATGAACCTGAGCTCAAAGATGTCCTCAAGTCTCACATGGAGGCATTACCGCAACAAGTACAAGATCTGGTCAATAAATTGACCACGCCTGAGCCTTGCACAGAACGAGAGATTGCGGCCAAACTCAAAGGCCGTGTGACAGAGCTCAAGAACCTGTCCATGAAGAAGACCCAACTCCAGGCCAAGATCGACAATGTCAAGGCACAGTATGCTGCACTCTTGACTGACATGCAGGAACTACAAACAAAGCTCACCGAAGGGCAGCAATCCCTCAAGAGCCTCTCTGACGACTACATGAAGGCAGTCAATCAGACACCAGCACCTTCTGAGTTGCCGGTGGCCACTGGAGAAGCTGAACAGATTCCCATGGCAGTTGAATCTTTTGTCCACAGTTTGGGCATCTCTTTGACTGAAGAGCAGAAGAATCAGCTGCATGGACTCCTGAAACGACCAAATCAGGATCAGGAGGACCCCACCAAGCGACGCAAAACAGAGACGAACACTCATGGGAAACCTGGACGTTGTGGGTAACATGAGTTCTCTCATGTTTCAGGGGTGGATTTTCCCAGTTCCGGACGATGACATGGTGTCATGTGATGGCCTTGGAAGTCCGATTTCACAGCTTTCAAATGAAGACTACACAGATTTTGTTGATGCGGATCAGCCACTGGCAGTGCAACCACCAACACAACCGGTTTGCCGCGCTGTCACAGGCTCAGAGCCGCAATGTGGGTTCTCAGCTACACTGAGTGCAGGGGACATTGCACTTCAAACAGCTGATACATACACAGGGGAGCTCTTCACTACCAATGAGGGGGAACACTCAATTACAGGAAAACCAGAGCAACCATTTCTCAGTTTTGATGAGCACAGCCACCACCAGACGGGCTCTAGCACACCGGCTCCCCGGGCGCCTGATGGGCTGGCCTACCTCTCCATTCTAGGAGGGGCACCAGCTAGCTCTTTGACAACCGGCAGTCAGACTACACAGACCTCTGGTATGCAAAATTACGCCACTTCAACAGATTGCATCCTCCAGAACCTCACCATGGTGGTTGGCAATCCAAGCCTCCGGTGTTTCGCAAATGCCCCCTGGCGGGCTTTCACTTGGGTGTGCGCTTTGCTGCAGGAGACCAGCACACAACCATGGGGCACGCTTCAAGAAGCAGTACAAGAGTCAATTGACACAGCGGAGCCAGTTGACCTTCAGGCTCTACCAGGATTGAGAGATCTATGGAAGCAGCATGACCTGAACGTCCAAGGAGATGCCAACCACTTTGTTAACTCATTGCGGCTGCTATCACAAAGCCGAGCATTTCATTACAGATTTGCTGAAATTCGAGAAGGAGGCTATCTCACTGACCATGTCCAACAGCCCATTTTGGTGCCATATCCGGATGACTGGCCAGATGATGTATCCTTCCAGCAATTGATAGACAATTGGGCAAATCAAGGCATGGGACAATATTTGATGGATGACAAGAAAATCCTGGTATGCCATGTCACTCGCAATACCTGCATCGAGGGTGTGATGACAAAACATCAAAAGCCGTTCAACCCCTACGGCACCTTCACTATGCCACGATCCCTTGATGGATTCTCACGAACTTCCACAGAGTTTGTGCCGGCAGTGCTGATATGTCACAGGGGACAGACCCATCAAGAGGGTCACTATTTTGCCATCTTGATCTACCGCGATCTCATGTGGTTAGCAGACGATGGCAAGGTTCCAACCCACCTGCCCCACCTCACCCCAAGCTTGGCAAGTCAAATCACACAAGTTTGGGCAGTGAACATTGACTGTTTCAAGACGCCACAACAAGTGCTGCAGGGACTCCCGCCAGCGGAAGAACCGGACTTCGAGCCACCGCTTCATCCAAGCCCCACCAAGAGGGCCAGATTTGAACAGGATCACAACTCCCTGTACTTTGCCAATGTCACCAACTTTGGACGACAGGTCATAGACTGGTACTGGACACAGGACAGTGGCATCTACATTTTTGTTGAGGCACATCTGGACCCACAAAAGCACTTTGAGCTTTGCCGATACTTCAGTATCCGAGGAAGGACAGTTTTTGGAACCCCGGCTGAACCAAATCAGGAACAAACAGGCACTCATGGCGGCATTCTGGTGTTGGCTGATCCTGCCTGTGGATTGACACAATTCCAGTCCTACACCAACAAGGGATGCGGCTTTCAAAGCTTTCTATGGCAGGCCACGGAGACCACCATCCTTGTGATAGGCCTGTACTTGAGGACTGGAGAAACCTTTCAAAGTGAGACAAACTCGGAGATTCTTGCCCAGCTCTTGACTTTGCTAGCCCACACCACGCATCCTTTTGTGCTCATTGGGGACTGGCAGAATCAACCCAATGCTCGGTTTTGCCGTCAAAGTTCCACTTTCATCCTGGCACCAGACCACAGTGTGTTGTCCAGAAACACCATTGACTATGCGGTTCTGCATAACTCACTGGCGGGCACCACATCCATACAAGCACAATGGGCTGTTCCGTGGAGACCACATGCACTGCTCCAGTTGAAGTTCGACATTGAGGCTGCAACCGTGGAGTATCGACAAATGCCATACTTCCCACCAATGCCAAAGGTTCCTGATATTGATTTCCGGCCCTGGACTACATATCAATCTCAGGCTCACACCATCGAACTGTATGGCATTCCGCCAAATCCAGCAGCACAGTCCTGGGCAGATTGGCTCTCCAAAACAGAGCAATACCTCCTCCAAGAACACCCTTGGGCGGCCCAAGGACGAGGACATCATTTGCAGGCAGTCACAAAGCCTTTGATGCTCCAGCCCAAAGGTCACACATGGCGCAAAGGGAAGCCTGCATTTTGGGATCAACTCAAGGCGATTTTTCATTTGGCACTTCAACAACCAACCACTGTCCAAACAGGCCCAGTCCGTGGCTTCATCCAGCGGCTCACACATGTGCATCAGCAATGGATGGGAGCACCAACGTGGGGACAGTTTCTGGACACTTGCCATCACTGGACTCGGTATAAAGATCCACATGCAGCTGAATTGATCCTACAAACCATTGGTCATCAACTTCAAGAAGCACAACAACATGCACAGGAGGAAAGCACCTTGCAATATCGCCAATGGCTACAAGAAGGTCACCAAAAAGGCTTAAGAGGCCTATTTCGCAGTTTGAAGAGTAGTGAGCTGGCTTGGGAACGACCATACCGTATGACATCCATGCCACAAAGGATGAATCAACGACTGGCAGATTGGGGAGGCCTTTGGAAGATCCGACAGGACAATGCACCAGCCAGATGGCACAAAGACAGGCACAGACACTGGAGCCACTCACACAAGGATTGCTGCAAAGAACACTGAAAGCACTTCCAGAAAGAGCCAGTGGCCCGGATGCAGTCTCTGTCCAATTGCTCAAATCTATCCCACCATTGGCTTTGACACCACTGCTACAGTTGATCCACCACATGGAGCGTACAGCTGAGCTTCCAACGCAACTACAAATGCATCTAGCGGTCATGCTCCCGAAGAACCAGAAGCTGGAGAGGCCAATCACCCTCACGTCGACACTTTGGCGACTTTGGCGTCGCCTCAGGAAACCGCTCCTGGACCAATGGCAACAAAACTTGCCGCCTAGCATGAGTCACGACAGGGCAAGACCGGGGGCAAATGTCTTACATGTGGCACTGGAAAGACTACGTCAAGAGGTCACGAAAGCACGCCAGCAGCATGGCATTACCGTCCTCATGGACATGTCAACCTTCTATGACACCATCAATCTACGCAGGCTGCAAGAGGAAGCCATTGGCTTGGACTACCCTCCACTCATGCTCGAGCTGGCTATGCAGCTCTACTGTGGCCCGAAAGCCATTTTGGCTGAACAGGAGCTGACCCCGTTCTTTCACGTGGATCATGGAGTACCAGCTGGATGTCCTCAAGCCACAATTGCTTACCTCCTCGAATGGAAATGGCAGGTGCAGGACATCCATCGATGGCACAGACCTGGCAGCACCTACCTACTCGAGCAGGAGCTAACTCTCCAAGAACCCTGGTGGAAACTCGAGCGGGCCTTAAGGCAGGAGGCCAAAGCGCAACGCATAGCCAGGCTGGCAAGCAAACCCAATCATCAGCACCTTGTGGCGGGCATTGATTGGCATGTTTATCGACAGGTGTTCAAATCCATCCCTGGGGAGAACAAACCACATCTCCGGACATGGACTCAAGCTGCACTGCACTACAAAGAGGATGGAAAAGCCAAAGAGTGCCCCATTTGCAAGGTCCCGGCAACCACAAAGCACATTTTGTGGTTGCGCAAGTGGCACCAGACTCAAAAGCACAAACCAATGCCACCGGAGTGGGCAGAGCGCATCTTGTCTGATGACGAGACACCTTCGTGGACAGCTGGCTGGATTCCTTTAGAACCACAAGAAGCCAAAAACATGTTGCACCCAAACCAGGGCCATGGGGCGCATTGGCGCCACAACCCCATCAAGGGTGGGCTTTCACTTTGGATGCCACACCTTCCAGCTATGACCAGCGAGATCAACTCTGGATCTTTGGCCTCTGCGCCCACACCATGTCCTTGGGGCATTTGCAGCGCCTGGCGGCCATAACGGGCACACCACCCGCACCTCACAACAAGGCGCGGGCCCTCATGGAAGGGTTGGTGGCTTTGGCAAAGCACACATCCACACCAGTGAGGGTCATCGTGCAGCTCGCAAGTGTATGGGAGGCCTGGACCCAACCAAAACACAGGGGACCTTTCCTGGACCAGCTTGAGCAGCTCACCGCACAAGACTATCAACGAGTCACAGTGCTTTATGTGGCCAGGAACACCAAGTCTCCACAAGCACCAGGCAGTGAGCCGCAGCTACGGAGACGCCAACGTGATGCAGCCTTAGCCGCATGGGAACGGGCCAAGACCTTCCAGCATAGAAGGAGCACTGAATGGCAGAAGGTGTTAGATGAGGATCACAAACTCATCTATACACATGCAATCAACAGACTGGCAACGATCTTCAACAGCAAAGATCACTACATCCACCAAAAGCCAAACCGACACCAAGGAAAGCACACTAAGCAACACAAAAAACAGCTCATTGCACAGTGCAAAAACCCTTGGCAGGCACCTTCTCACCGGTGGGTGCCACACAGAAGTGGATACCAATGTGAGGCCTGTGGTGTCAGAGTGCATCAAGCCCTCACGGTCCAGGCCCTTGAAGAGCACCTCCATGCAGAATGTCCGCAGCTCAGCATTGAAGCACAGCTGCCTGAACCAGAAAGACCTCATCAGCCGCTGCCCAAAAAACAGACCAGGCAACAGGTCATCAAGCAGCTACTGCAACAGCAGAAAGACGAAGTACCACCTCAGCAGCAGCACGAGTTTGATGAGACCACCGGCTATCTGCGCTGTGTCAAGTGTGGAGCTAATGTCCACAAGAGGAGCAATGAGCAGCTATTCCAGGCTTTCGTCCAAGGACAATGTTTGGACCAGCCCTACACAGCTACCCATGAAGGGCACAGCAGCCACGTCCTTTGGCAAAAAGGGCAACAAAGTCAATTGCACACAATGTGGCTTGAGTCTGCATTTAGATGCACAACAAAGACTCATCCTCACAACTGCCTTCAAAAAGCCCTGCAAAGGCGCAGGTATCACTGGTTCCCCACCCCTTGAGGAGATCTTCCGCCGGCAAGCAACACAAGCATCACCAAAGAGTCCAGAGGACTCAGCAAGTGGCAGTAGCCAAATGAGCCAACACGCACCACAGGCAATGCAGTCTACCTCCAAGAAACCCAGGCTACAGTCTCAGCAGCCTGCCGAGCCACCAGAGCCCAACCTCAAGGGTTCTGGGCCGACACCAAGGAGGCTACATTTTCCCACACAGCTCGATCAGCAAGCTCAGGGATCCCTGGCAAGCATGCCAGCACAGGCCATGACACCCAGCCCACTAGATCCCTTGAGCAGTCCACCAAACAATGCCACGCCAGAGGCAACCAGCCCTGGCCATGCAGGCCTCCATCACTGTGGACTACTTCTGACCCGACTGAGCCTAGTCGAGAGGCCACAAGAGCAAGAGCAGCACACCCTTCAGGAAAAACAACATACATACATACATACATACATACATACATACATACATACGCACAGGTGATATAGTCTTTATTCAAACTTGTCACGAATTCAACGAGCACTGCCACTGCCCTCATGGAATGTTCCTTCACAAAATTGGTCCGCACCATGTCAGAGAAACGCTCACCTGCCTGGTAGAGATCGCAATTCGGATCCAGCTTCTGGATCAGCACCAGTTTCTTCTCCAAGATATCTTGAAAGAGCTGCGGCAGCGGATTTTCGGCGCTGATCCGTGCAAAGCGCCGGCGGTTGGGGTACTTGAAGGGCCCACACAGGTCGAACCAGTCGGAGCGCACCTGGGGAGCGAGAACCCAGCCACCAAAACCGAAACATCACCTTGTTCATGCGCATTGGGAATTTCATGAACAGGCCGGCGGGTCTGTCGTGTCTCCGGCGGGTCTCCGGCCGCCCCGAAACAACTGCTCATGTTGTTTCCTCAAGGACCCTTTCTAGTTGCTTCGTGAAGACATCCGGTCGCCTCAGAAAGCGGTATAATACTGAGACGACAAAAACAGGGTTGCTTTGGGCTTGTGAAAGCACATAAACAGTAGATCTAAACTGTAAGGCGTGGGCACCAGCTGAAGCAAGTAAGCAAAATGCTGAAAGTATTATGAGGTGAAAAATGTGAAAAGATTGATGTGCTTACAAAAGCGCATCAAAAACAACACAATTCCCTTGTGTGGTACAATATGGACACTATGGACACAGAAGTCGCTTGTGTTTTGTCGTGTGCACATGCATATGCCAGCACACAAATCCCGATTAACAACCAACAAAAGTTGAACGTTTCAGGTTCCGGGCACAACTAGTCATGACCCTGCCACACCTCGCACAAGAAGTTCCGGGGGCACCATTGGCAGTCGGCAATGGCCTGCTCACGTGGCAGGTAGCGGTCGTCGCTCACCAAGGGATGGCCAAGGCCTGTGCGGACTTGTGGCCCAGAGCGGGGTGGCGAAAGCTAGGCAAAGAAACAACGCTGGGGCTCTTTGGCAGGAAAAGCCTGGCCGGGAGTCGCAACATGCCATGGCCAAGGGAAAAGGAGAGTGCCAACAGCGCCCCCCCAATACGACCCCAACACAGCCAACACATGGCAACACACAACCACCCCA